TAATGTCTGAAGAGTTCCAGCTACTGGGGTATTACAACATATTTTATTATCATTGTTTGAAATACAGGACCTTGTATTGCATGGCCTGAAAACAGGGTGTATGGTTAAAGTCAGATTCAACAAATAATAAATATAAATAAATCAACGGATCAGTTGGATCTTAGACATAGTTTTCTTTTATTAACATATAACGTTGGAAAAATAACAAATCGGTGGTCAAGTTAAATGAAAACTAATGCAAAGCTAAGCTATAGGTATGTTGCAACACTTATCCCTGAGATCTATGTAGCCACGGACTTAGATAAAATCTAATTTCGTGAAATAACCTATTTGGTATAATGGAGAGTTCTTTAAATGATTCCTCATATCATTATATATAACGTACAATTTAAATATTTTTTACAAAAGGTGGGGTCTCGCTTTTTCTTAATAATAATGATGTAATTTGTATAGCACCTATATACAACATATACATATATAACGTCATTAATATTAATAATAATGTCCAATTAATATAGTGCCATATAATATACACAATGAATGTATATGGCACCCTTTATAATTTGAAATTTCTCTCTGGCGCTTTGCAGTACATGTGTGTACATACAAAAACATAAAGAGTTTGGCAATCATTATACAGTTCGACAGTTTATATAAATAACACGTTTGTACTTGGTTGTTTTGGTCGTTGTGTCATTTTATAGACACAGCTATTTTTTTTTTTTTTTTTTTTAAATTCTAGCAGTAAGTGAAAAGCTATTCCATTTTTCGAGACTTCCGCTTCTATTTGTTATCGAATAATATTTTGGGACCCGCACGGTGTTTTTGACGTAATGACAGTTCCAATATTCTAAGAACTTGTGTATCAAAGGAACAAACATTTCTACTTACATATCATTTTGTTCAATAAGTTTTAAAAGAGTAATATCTCAATCGCGAACTTCAGTATTCGTGTATAAAGGCGTAATTCACGAAATAACGAAAAATGTAAACATGAACATAAATTAATATTCAGTATGTAAATTCCTTAAACAAGTCAACATATGCATACGTTAATTATGTATATAAAATGTTTTGAGCATTTCTTACATGTAATTTCAATTAACTTATTATGATAATTCAACAGTGGCTGTTTGCAATGAAACCATCGTTGAAATCCAAGGGATCCGCTGCCGATACACACCCTTTATATATGTCTTGACGAATTCGAAGGCACGCGGTAGGCGTTTAGGTTTAAAAAGAACTGATAAATCGGAAGGCTGATACCTGTTCTTTGAAAATTATAAGGAGAGACACTTGATTTCAAAAGATGTAAATTTCACCGTTAAGCTTCCGCACGATTTGATGTAAAACAAAGGTTAAAACTAAAATACTTGTGTTATCCATTGGATAAGCTCTTACAAAACTTTCAATTTGATAAATTTACCGACAACGGAATCCTTGGAGTTGGAGTATGCAATGCAATATAACAAAATCCTCTTTTGTACACGAATCATTATTTTCCTGATACATATATATATATATATGTACAGATGTATTTAGAAATAACATTATGAGAACACATTGTCAGACCATTCTAAAGTAAAATGAATAGATGACAAGCAACACAAATGGCCACAATATATTGCAAATAATACGATTGTTCCAACATCAGTGCAACACTTACAAACTTTCGATGGCAAATCTAACAATCGCATGCAAAAAACATTGCCCGGAAATGTTTGCAATATTTGTTTTAACAAAACCATGTCAAAAATTTGATTTTTGATCCATTTTTCTTTTATATCGTTTTAAAACAAAAATTCGACCAATAGAATTTATGATAAACATACAGATAAAAAAACACAGACATATTATATAATTGATCAGGACACTGTTCTTATTAATACAACCGTTAAATAGAAAGTAACAAATATTGTTGTTATAACGAGATATCGTCTAAAACAAGTAAACAGATCTGCCCACTTCTTGTCGAATTATAACAACCAATTTTGACCATTATCACATATAATTCGTAAAAATATATTGCTGCAATTTAAAAGGAATGAACAACACAATCCGTTCTTCAAAAGTGTAGATTAAAAATATCTTAATCTAATTTCTAATTGAAATTACGTATCAATCAAAACCTGACATGTCTTAACTTTCTCGCCTGCGTCTTTGAGGACATTTTTTGATTTTTGAAAACTTCTGTTTGCCGATTTCATATTGATTTGAACATGGACTTGTTGAAGTACTTCCAAACACCGCCATTTCAGAATGTCGGCAGCATGCTTTGACCCTTCCTTCTTCAAAAGTCGTTTTGATGGTTTAATTAGTCGGTGGTTCTAAAAAGATTGTAAGACAACATGATGGTTTTAGCGAACTTTAGAGAAAACTGTGAATGCTATCAAATATAAAGTATAAGAGGCCAATAGGACATGTATCGATCATCTATATGTATGTGGTATCTAAATTTAACAAGAGGTTGAACATTTGCAATCAACCCTTGGCCATGCTGGCCATGTCAGATCTACTCCTGACCTATCATTAGCAAGTATACCACTTTGAAGCTTCAATTAAGTGATTATTTACACTGATAGAGGGTAAAATTGTTCTGGAGAAGAAAAAAGCGAAAATATCTGACCTTATCACATGCAGGACAAGGACAATATAAGGGCTGTTTGAATCATTCAAAATATTACAAGAGGTCAAAGGGGCATATATGGTTCATTTGTTTAATGACAATGACAAACTATTTTAATGCCGAAATGACTGAAGATAATTTATCCCAGGAAGCTGCCACCACTAGTTTAGTTAATTAGAAATCATATGGTTTTAACATACTTTGCTTTGCTCCTGTTGGATTGAATGTGATTCAATATATTTTTATTTCTATTTACACAAAGTTGCTACATCCAAAACGCAACAAGAAAAATATCAAGACAATTTCTTTTTTTCTATTTCTAGAGCAATTTTGCCACATTTGACAATGTGACTTTGAATACACTTAGGTGGATGCTGGGTGTTGTGGCATGGCTTATGATGTAGATGACACAAATTATATAACTGTAAAATTGTTTTATAACAAAAAAGTGAAATATCGGAGTCAAGTGTAATTACGTTAAAAAATAAACGATAGATAAATATAATATATATTAATTCATATTAATATATTCATTATTGTGTATTAACAGCGCAGGAGGAACAAAATTGCCACAGTGGCCGACAGAAAGCTGAGAAATAGGTTCCTTAAAGGATCATTACAGATTACACAAAATGTTAATTGTGAAATAAAAATAAACGTTATAACATTTTTTGCTCTTACCTTGATTTGTTCTCCAACCATAGTCAACATGACCTGTGTGTGTTGGTCCCAGTCGTCACCGTTACTAACTAAAGCAGTCTTGGCCTCTTCTTCTACTGTCTAAAATGGACAATAACAATATTTAATGTCATCCTCGTGAATTCAGATTCACCTGTATTAGTTAACTGCTTGCAGCTTCGTTCACATACTATAATATATGGAGCAGGATCTGAAATACCGTTACATTACAAGTCTTGTATGGTTTGAACCAGGATAATTTATGTTTTGTGGCAAACGCTTGCATTGATTTTCACCTGACTCATAACCATATACTGGAAAGGACCACAGTCTATACTGGACTGCAAACAAGTTCACAGAAAACTAAAACTTGCGAGCAGCTTGCTTAATACCTCCACAACCTAGGACTAAACGTTGGTGGTTGTATTACTTTAAAATTGGAATCCCAAAAAATTAAAAGCTAGAAATAACCTGACCAACAAATTAAATGGACAGGAATTCCTTCGAATCTAGGTAGCACTTCAGGAGAAATTGTCTGCACAAAGTTGTGTATATAGAGAAGCAGATGGACAGCGTGATTCTAATTTCACCCCATCCGTATGGGGAGCAAACAAAAAGGATCGCAAACCGTTCACTATTCAAAACGTAAGTTACACCTAGTAACCAAAAGTAGGTTATAAATACAAGTAAGTTCAGAATTCTTGTCACATTTTAATTCTAAGCAGCTTTATTACTTTTTCGAATAAATGAGTGTTACTGTCACTAAAATCATAACAATAAAAAATACTCAAACCAAATAAAATTTGGAAGATGTAGTTCTAAAATGTTGCATTACAGTAGTAGAAAATATTATGGAGTGCAGTTTACATAAAAATACATATATCCCCATGTTTCGACATTGTAATGTGGTTTAAAAAAATCCCATCCAGGTTGTTTGGTCAAACAGCAACCAAATGAAAGTGTTTTGAAATCATGAACATTTAATCATGAAATAATTGATATGAGTTTTCTTTTTGTCTTATTGGACTATTTTCTGTCTATTATCTTTTGACAAATTAAATGTGAAGGTTATGCGACGAACGGACAATCAGATAACACCACAACCACGCGTACGGTAAAAAGGATTTATTAAACCACAGAGAGTAAAACGTAATATACCATTCATACATGTATCTGAACTTATACCAACTTACTATGATTTTTTATATCCTTTTAACAACAAAGGTCATTAGAGGGCAAGGCGGGTTTTGGTGGCGGCGGAAAACCAGAGTACCCGGAAAAAAGCCACATGCGGTCAGTACCTGGCGTATACCCCACGTATACCTCATAACCGCGACCCAGTGGCGAAAAGCTGGTGACGTTAACGGTCAGACGCCTTCACTACCCGGCTAATGAGGCCCCTGACTTACCAGGGAATGATGATAGGATTTAAACTGATATGTACTGTGGTTAGTACATGTAGCTTTCGATCAATCTGAATACTTTGTTTTTAATTGTATATGATAAGGTGGAACAGATAATTTACTCTATCAGCTATTTTTTCTCACATACTGATATGTGAAACAATATGTAAATGCTTGAACCTACATATTGGAGGTAGTCAACTTTGATTGTTGTATACCAAATAAACAGAAGGCAATATACCACTTTAATTTACATGTACTTACCTGGTCTACCGTGATGAGTATGTCTGGTATCTCGCCAGTAATCACCTTGTGTGTCTCTGACAAATGTATGGATTCGTAAATCAGCTGTCGGATGTACAACTGGGTACTTACTATCGCCTAAATGTAGCAAAGAAAATGTTATAATAATGCTGCTCCTTTTACATGCCAAGTTGTTCAAAGAGCTAGAGATAATATCAGCTTAAAGACAATTCAACAGTTTTATCTTGTACATATTAAACATTATAGAACGTCAGAAACTAAACAAGATTGATCACCTACAGACAGGACACACAAATACAGTTGTAAGTTTGAATTTTAATATATTTCAGAAAAAATTGGATACTGAAGATTTATATGACGCTTTAAGCTAAGCCGAATTTGAACAAGCGGAATGTTGTATATAACATATTGGAAGAGGGCCCTTTACCCTAAACGTTAATACACATACTTTACAACCTCAAGACACACTCAATCCTCTACATTTCCAGCACCTACGTATACAAACTCAGAGGGGTCATGGCACACAATGGTAGATATTTGTATTAGTTTTTGATCAAGCAGGCGAAATAAAAAAAATCCAATATATGAAGCAGAAGTAATACATTTGTAGGTACAGTTTCAGAAAGAATTGTTGAGACGTGAAGTGCAAACAAGAGGCACAGTACCCTCATCGGACAGTTTGTCTACCAACTGCGAAAACGGTGAATGACAAAGATGGCTCTGGTGACCGGAAATATACCAATCTGAATGAATACACCCACAGACACTACCAGACCCCACGAACAATACAACACATGGAACCGAGAAAAAACAAATAAGAGAACAAACAAACGGAGGTAAACTTCCTCTGCCCCTTGTCGTGTCCATCGTGACATCTCCCTTCAAATTCGAGAAAATATATATCACAAACGAACAAGGAAACATAATCAACAAAACTTCAATTATGGCAGACATTCAAATCTCATACATGTAGCTGGGTTCCATTAAATGACGAACATACACTTTGAGAAAAGCTAGTATCGAACCTACTACACACAATATCCAGGCTAAGTTTTTATGTTTAAAATCCATAATTTAACATGATCTCTTAATGGAGCATGTTTTCTCTGAGGGGACCATTTTATTAGATTCATTTTTTTTCTCCAGTTCAGTAAATGTTTTGATATTAAACATGTTTACCTTGGCACAGAGTAATATGTTATAAATGAAGAATTTAACAGTTGAAAAAAGCTTAGGCGACGCTTTGTCATACTCACAGGGGTATACCTTGACTTAAAACAGATATTAATTACTCAAAGTTATCTGGTGAATAATATTCACTCGATGTATATCATCCTTGTATACATATAGCTTTAAATGTTTCTTTGATGAGCTAGTACCAACCAAAAGTACTACTGCCCAACGCAGAACCTTTAACAATCATTTCTGTCTTCTCAACGTAACGTCAGATTAATTTTCAAATGTACACATTCTAATTAATACCTGCAGATGGTCAGCTTTGCTACTTACTGACGTGGTCAAAACCACAATGACCCAGACGTCATCATCACACAATATCCCCCACAGGCACAATCGTTCTCCCTTACCGGGCAATAGTCTTGAACCAGTTGGAGTGAAAAAGACAAATGGTACGAGAATATTCAAAACTAGTAAAGATATCTTAAAGAATAAAAGCAAACAACAACAGGTTATTACATAAATCGTTCACAATACGCATTACCTGTTAATCGACCCCAGTGCTGTGATAGAGATTGAAAAACACTCGTCTACTTGAATACTGCCCATCAAGTTGGTTGACATGTTTTCACGTTACAGCAATCTGGCCATATTTGTTCTAGTTCATAATTCATAGCATTGCTTCCATACGAGGTATATCCTCCAGGTAATTGGTCAATGAAGTGTGTAATATAATAGGCTTGTATGATACAGGTATCACTGGGATAAGTCAAGTATCAAGGCGGAGATATCACAGCCAAAACCAGTAAAGTCCACATACTGGTGGCAAATAGATTTGAAAGACATTTTGAACCAATTTTGAAACGTACCTAATTACTGCAAATCTCTTTATTTCAACAACACTTGTGTCTCTAGATTTGTCATGGCATTACTTTTTTTTAATTCAAAAACGTAGATCTGAATAAAAACTTGACCTATGCAATTTTATGAAAGTATTTTAATTACTCAATACTTTTTCACAAACATGAGATAAATTGTTTAAACAACGACGAAATTAGTTTTATCAAGCAAATTATAACGAGAAACATGACTTTCAGAAGAAAGAAAAAAAATCTAGGCTAAAGTTTCTTGAGACATCAGAGCCGGATTGAAGCAACTTTAATCAAACTTATACGTCACAATATTTCAGATCAATCTCACAAATATCAAGTTTATATCCAAAGTTGATCAGTGTTTATTTTCTTCAATGTAGATCATGGCATCTTATAATTGTCTTGATGTTAATATAGACGACCAACAGCTCACAAATTCAACGGCAGATTGTCCTGCAACTGGCAAATTAACAAAGAATTCATCATGAAATAGCTTGCATAACATATAAAACATATTGAAAAAGAGGTCAAAAGGGTCCTGTATTAGATGTTTTTTATTCATCGAGACTTCAACCAAATTTGGACTTACTTTATATCGGTTTGGAGTCGTTTAACCATTACAAAGAGACAATTTTGGCAATACTTAAGGAAACAATTTTGAGTCCAAAAACGAGATACGGATAAACCAAGAAAATCGCATGCCTTGCATGTGTATGCGTTGTTCATGCTAATTATAATTTGTAAGGGCACATATTCTGTGGCTCAAAAAAAAAATTCTAATTACCTATAGGCATGCCATTAATTGCCTGAGAAATTCAGTAAATATATAAAGCATAAATGCAAACCTAAATACATCAGTAATGAATGGCTTGCTTGAACATATTATGAAGTATTTGTAGCATTTTGATGTTAAATGTTTCTTAGAAACGATCGTGAATACAATAATCCATTTGCATTCTGATTATCAATTGAGCAAGTTTGACAGTTTCCTTCACAAACAGAATCAGACATTTAAAGAGATGATATAGGACAGGTTACGGCATACCGCGTAAGCGCTACCACACAAGCCCATGCTTTTTTTCAGACTACAATCCAGAGCAAATACTTGAAATGATTATTAAAATCCTGAATGAAGGTACATTAAGCCTCATACCAGTTGTATAAAATATGCTGGTCAGAAAAGGAATACATATATGCTCTGTAGTAAATATCGCAAGTTTTTTTTATATATTAACAAGTGAAAATATTTGTTGTTCTCTGATATAAACAAACGAGTAGGCTCTGTTGTAATCTCCACGGTAGTTTTCTCCCTATTTTGGTAGTTTTTTTTAAATATAATTCAATGTGTGGCAAATTGTATCTATGTGACAGCTTGTGCATTTGCAAGAAGTTAAGATTTTCAAGTTGATGGATGACAAACGTCTCCATCAAAGTAGCTACTGTGTAATATTATTTCTCTCTGGTCAACATCTGGCCAATTATACAGCTACAGGGTCCCTAAGCATGAGTTATACTAGACCATTGTGTACACAAGGATTTTTGTTGCAGATGAACAGTATTTCCTAACAGTGATGTAAAACCAGTATCTTCACATCCTGTGATGTCATTTCCAATTGACGTAGTATTCCTTTCTATCACACCACTAGCAAAGTAGGGTTGGGTCTACTCGGAGATTTTATTTCTCCAGATGAAAAGAAAATATATTTTCAGTTAAAATGTTGATGCTGAAATTCAATGAAATCTAATAATAGAACGTCAAAAGACATGTTTTTACACAATTAAACAAATAAAACCCATTAAGGCCACACCTAGGACGTTTATGATTCACTAGCTCTTTTTACGCTCATATATACGGAAATGTTTTATCTCTGGGCAAGCAAGCACATTCTCAAAGTGTCAATATTCAAAGATGATGGATCTCCAACCACTCCATCAAGATTACTACCCTTCATGTCTCTCCATCTGCACAGCCTCTGATCAGGTATATCGTATTACCCAATACACATAGTTATCACACACTAAACGCCAGGTGAATTGAAGGCATGCAAACATCACAAACTGGAAACATGACCTACATAGCATAGCTCTCCCACAAAGTCTGACCTTTCTCTTAATTATCTCTTTACATAGGCTACAATAAGAAAAAAAAATCGATGCAAAGTGAATTTTAAAGGAGGCCACTTTACCATGGGGGTTGGGGAGGAGGGTTGTTATTTCTCTAGGCATTATAGCCATAGTAGTTTGCCCTCCAATCCATCTATTTCCCTGCTGTAGGCTTTGGTTACCATATATCCGATCCAAATACACTTTTTATAATGGTATATTATCTGTATAATAGAAATCAGGGAAAATACAAAAGGAAATCCCTTTAAAGAGGATGTCCTGAGCACAACATTTGTTTTTGGAAAAAATGCTAATTTACTAGAGTACAGCAGTATGTGACTTCGGTAACAAAACTAGGTTATATAGCCCCTGTAGGATATGGTGTTAGATCGTGTTGGTAACCATCATAGGGGACTATAGCAAACAAAAACAGTTCATCAGGATCCTACACACAGACATAGGATGTATATTGGCTGTTTGTGTCGACAAGGAGGATAACAAATTTGGATAATTGTTAAATTATCAAAGTTCAGTAGGTAGTATGTAAATCCTCTGACAAAACTAGATTATATACAGGTAGCAACCTTTACAACAGCACATCATTAAATCACCAAACCATTCCATGACCATCGATTAGTCAACAAAATTTACAATGCGTTCATATGGACTGTGACCACTCGAAAATTCCACGTTACATGCTATCGTGTTTATATTTTATCACTTGCAAAAGAAATCTCATTCAAAATTCTGCCATGACAACATTAACCTTATCATGACTTCCGAAGATAATGTGGTGTCAGCAGATCACTAATTTGTTCCAACAGAAGTTTTGTTACATAACTGCTTGGTGATTATTTGTGGCTGTTAGTAATATATTGTGTATCGCCAGGCCAGAATCACACCTAGGACCTGCGAACTCTACAAGGATTCCCTACCCAATTGAGCTACCTGGTCGGCAGCAATCGGCCCATTCTAGTTCTACAACATTCCTTCCTCCTTAAAAAAAGTCCTCGATCCTTGAGACAAATCAGACCCTATACCAACTTCAATGAATAGTGTATGTTTCATTGGGTGCAAAATGTAACAGAAAAGGTCAAATGCAACAGTCAAATCTTGCTTTCAACCAGGGACCTCTGAACTGTAGACGGACACTCTAACCAATTGAGCCACCTTGGTGCTGGTAACAACCCAGTCCAGTACCGTAACAAACCAATCAATATTGGGCTACATACATTGTACCTCAACTCCCAAGGAGGGTCGAACCCTCAGCTCCCAAGGAGGGTCGAACCCTCAGCTCCCAAGGAGGGTCGAACCCTCAGCTTCCAAAGAGGGTCGAACCCTCAGCTCCCAAGGAGGGTCGAACCCTCAGCTTACAAGGAGGGTCGAACCCTCAGCTTCCAAGGAGGGTCGAACCCTCAGCTCCCAAGGAGGGTCGAACCCTCAGCTCCCAAGGAGGGTCGAACCCTCAGCTTCCAAGGAGGGTCGAACCTTCAGCTCCCAAGGAGGGTCGAACTTTCTGTTTATTAAACATTAATGATAAGTCCACATCGTCCAAGGATATACCGGACTATATTTGGGTATAATAATTTTTAATGCAATTAACAAAGCAGAACATTAACCATTCACTTGTATGTCCCTTAACCCTTTCACCCCTATGTAATTTTAATAAACTCTACCATGCATTGATCTGGATAAGTCCATTATGGTCAGATACAATGGTGAAAGGGTTAAGAGGCCACATTCTGACTTTCTCCTTTTTTAACATTGAGTTTCCTTTTGCAATGATGTTCAAAACCAATACACTGAAAATCCTGTAATCATTACTGCCCCTCTTACTCAAAAGGATGAGGAACATACCTTTCACTTATAAAATAATTAGTTCTCATGGCCCAGGATGGTTCATGCTAAATTTATTCAAAATCCCTTTAGCTGTTCTGGACAAGTAGTCTTTCATAGGAAATGTTGACAGATGGACAGAGGATAAGCGGATAATACACAGACAACAGCCACTATACCACAGTACGCAGTGATTAGGCAAAACCCAAGAACCTTTTATTTTGCCTAATCATAAAAACATTGAATATATTACAGCATGCAAAAGGTTCAGCAAAATGCAGCAATTTCCAGATTAATTAACACAGTACTATCACACAAGGGACAGAGGATGCCTAGCTTACACTCAACCAATGACAACAGAAGATCTAAGCACAAATACAAGCTTAAGACTCACACATTTCCAAAAGGTTACTAATACATGTATAGACTTCACATTCACCATACACATTTTATGTATACAACAAACATTTTGCAATAGTTTTACTAGTGTTACAGTTCAAGGATGATATTTCAGATATTCAAAAGATATAAAAATTGTACAATTACAGATTATCACACTGTGTTTTTAGAGTTTGTCGTGAGGACAATTTTATCATCGTGAGCAGGTGGTTGAAATTGAGAGGCCACCGCAGGTGGAATCAAGATTTTATCTACGTGTAAGCGACGAGAAAATTGTTCAAACGACAATTAAACCCTGAAAATACTGTGTGATAAACTGTTTACCATCTATATACTACTACATTATATATTTCTCCGTTAAAAAAAAGTCAACTAAACACCATATTTTCCAAATGACTTCTAGGCTCGATGGCCATTGATAGCAAACCCTCGGTCTGTGCCAAATGTAAACAAATAGAAGATTTGCGCTGAGGAAAACATATTTTTAAAACAATTTTTATCGTCATCGGCTTTTCCATATTCCATGTACGCTTGAAATGGTATTCTTATCCTCACAATATATTTTACATTGATATGCACAGAATATTTTCTTAGGCAGATCATTATTGTGTGGATACTATTTCCAGTTAAGGACGTCACCTGGCAACAGCAGATGTTTTTTGTTTTTGAAAAAATACGTTCCAAAGTACCGGAAAACAGGAAAATACGTTCTCAAGTTGTTCGCAAGTCGTTCTCTACTTCCTGTTGAGCAATTCTCATACTGACAACACATGATAATGAATTTAGCATGTTACCGGTAGGTGGTATAAACTAGTATATAGAAGATAATTGTTTTTTCCTGTATCAAAGAAATTCTTAAAATTTCTCAAATTTCCATAAATTCCACTAAATAAAGAAAAATCTTTAGATAAATGCTAGAATAATAAAACATGTTCACAGGTAGCTTTGGTCTACTATATGTACCTGCGTTAAGAAGTTAGGTAAAAACTGAAATCCCTTGGATTATAAATATATGCCCTATCTAAGTGAGCACAAAAAGACTACAAACAGAAAATTAGTAAAATTTAATCTTTAACAAGAGACGCAAGAAGGACCTTGGCACCCACCATAAAAGGATATTTATCAGATCATCAAAGGATGATCTTTTACCTTCTTTGTTCTTCATTTTCCTTACCGGTACTATTACAAAGTCCCATGTTGGAAATCCTAAATGTGAATCAAGTACATTAACTTAAACATCGAAATGTCATTATCATCTAATTGCCACCATGACAAATGTTATTTCATAAGAATTTCAAAACTGTATGCAAAATGCTAACAAATGGAAATTCTTATTTAATTAAAAGCGCTGTCACTGACAGATGAATTATCATTAGGGCCAGGGGTACTTTTTTGATATATATGAAATAGCGATAACAAAAATTGAACTGTCAAAATTCAAGATGGCTGTTTTGTGGTCATCTTGGTTTTCCTATCAGTCCCAAAAATCAATAGGCATAACTCAGGACCACAAGAAACCCTCACGTGAAATTTGAGAAGATCCCTCTAATACTTCTGAGAAATAGTGCCTACAATATTTAGCTCAAAAAATTCAAGAAGGCCTCCTGTTGTCAAACTTGGATTTTTTCAGATCACAAAAATAGGCATAACTCAGACTCATTAAAAACAAGGACCATGGGGAACTTTAACAGATCAGTCCCTAAAAACAAGGACCATGGGGAACTTTAACAGATCAGTCCCTAAAAACAAGGACCATGGGGAACTTTAACAGATCAGTCCCTAAAAACAAGGACCATGGGGAACTTTAACAGATCAGTCCCTAAAAACAAGGACCATGGGGAACTTTAACAGATCAGTCCCTAAAAACAAGGACCATGGGGAACTTTAACAGATCAGTCCCTAAAAACAAGGACCATGGGGAACTTTAACAGATCAGTCCCTAAAAACAAGGACCATGGGGAACTTTAACAGATCAGTCCCTAAAAACAAGGACCATGGGGAACTTTAACAGATCAGTCCCTAAAAACAAGGACCATGGGGAACTTTAACAGATCAGTCCCTAAAAACAAGGACCATGGGGAACTTTAACAGATCAGTCCCTAAAAACAAGGACCATGGGGAACTTTAACAGATCAGTCCCTAAAAACAAGGACCATGGGGAACTTTAACAGATCAGTCCCTAAAAACAAGGACCATGGGGAACTTTAACAGATCAGTCCCTAAAAACAAGGACCATGGGGAACTTTAACAGATCAGTCCCTAAAAACAAGGACCATGGGGAACTTTAACAGATCAGTCCCTAAAAACAAGGACCATGGGGAACTTTAACAGATCAGTCCCTAAAAACAAGGACCATGGGGAACTTTAACAGATCAGTCCCTAAAAACAAGGACCATGGGGAACTTTAACAGATCAGTCCCTAAAAACAAGGACCATGGGGAACTTTAACAGATCAGTCCCTAAAAACAAGGACCATGGGGAACTTTAACAGATCAGTCCCTAAAAACAAGGACCATGGGGAACTTTAACAGATCAGTCCCTAAAAACAAGGACCATGGGGAACTTTAACAGATCAGTCCCTAAAAACAAGGACCATGGGGAACTTTAACAGATCAGTCCCTAAAAACAAGGACCATGGGGAACTTTAACAGATCAGTCCCTAAAAACAAGGACCATGGGGAACTTTAACAGATCAGTCCCTAAAAACAAGGACCATGGGGAACTTTAACAGATCAGTCCCTAAAAACAAGGACCATGGGGAACTTTAACAGATCAGTCCCTAAAAACAAGGACCATGGGGAACTTTAACAGATCAGTCCCTAAAAACAAGGACCATGGGGAACTTTAACAGATCAGTCCCTAAAAACAAGGACCATGGGGAACTTTAACAGATCAGTCCCTAAAAACAAGGACCATGGGGAACTTTAACAGATCAGTCCCTAAAAACAAGGACCATGGGGAACTTTAACAGATCAGTCCCTAAAAACAAGGACCATGGGGAACTTTAACAGATCAGTCCCTAAAAACAAGGACCATGGGGAACTTTAACAGATCAGTCCCTAAAAACAAGGACCATGGGGAACTTTAACAGATCAGTCCCTAAAAACAAGGACCATGGGGAACTTTAACAGATCAGTCCCTAAAAACAAGGACCATGGGGAACTTTAACAGATCAGTCCCTAAAAACAAGGACCATGGGGAACTTTAACAGATCAGTCCCTAAAAACAAGGACCATGGGGAACTTTAACAGATCAGTCCCTAAAAACAAGGACCATGGGGAACTTTAACAGATCAGTCCCTAAAAACAAGGACCATGGGGAACTTTAACAGATCAGTCCCTAAAAACAAGGACCATGGGGAACTTTAACAGATCAGTCCCTAAAAACAAGGACCATGGGGAACTTTAACAGATCAGTCCCTAAAAACAAGGACCATGGGGAACTTTAACAGATCAGTCCCAAAAAAAAGGACCATGGGAAATTTTAACAGATCAGTCCCTAAAAACAAGGACCATGGGGAACTTTAACAGATCAGTCCCTAAAAACAAAGACCATGTGGAACGTTAAACAATCAGTCCCTAATAACAAGGACCATGGGGAACTTTAACAGATCAGGCCCTAAAAACAAAGACCATGGGGAACTTTTACAGATCAGTCCCTAAAAACAGGGACCATGGGGAACTTTGACAGATCAGTCCCTAAAACAAGGACCATGGGGCACTTTAACAGATCAGTCCCTAAAAACAAAGACCATGGGGCACTTTAACAGATCAGTCCCTAAAAACAAAGACCATGTGGAACGTTAAACAATCAGTCCCTAATAACAAGGACCATGGGGAACTTTAACAGATCAGTCCCTAAAAACAAAGACCATGGGGAACTTTAACAGATCAGTCCCTAAAAACAGGGACCATGGGGAACTTTAACAGATCAGTAACGTTAAACAATCAGTCCCTAATCTTTCTAAAAACAAGGACCATGTGGAACGTTAACAAGTCAGTCCCTAATAACAAGGATCATGGGGAACTTTAACAGACCAGTCCCTAAAACAAGGTCCATGGGGAACTTTAACAGATCAGTCCCTAAAAACAAGGACCATGTGGAACGTTAACAAATCAGTCCCTAAAAACAAGGACCATGGGGAACTTTAACAGATCAGTCCCTAAAAACAAGGACCATGGGGAACTTTAACAGATCAGTCCCTAAAAACAAGGACCATGGGGAACGTTAACAAATCAGTCCCTAATAACAAGGACCATGGGGAACTTTAACAGATCAATCCCTAAAAACAAGGACCATGGGAAACTTTAACAGATCAGTCCCTAAAAACAAGGACCATGGGGAACTTTCATGTGAAATTTGAGAAATAGCGCTTACAAACTTTAAACCATCAAAACTCAAGATGGCTGTCTTGGTTTTCCAATCTCTCTCAATATTTGATATATGTAACTGGGGACCAAGGAAAACCTTAATGCAAAATTTGAGAAAGATCCCTCTGGTGCTTTCAGAGAAATATAACTAACAACAATTGTTTCAGGATGGACAGACAGATCACAGACAATGGACAAAGAGTGATTTGAATAACCCACCATCTGCTGATGGTGGGCTATTAATTCCTGAACAGGAAATTGTAAAACAAAATGAAAAAGAATCTAGCAGGTGTCCATCGCTCACCACATGTTTTGATTTACAAGTAAGGCAACATCTATGATACATATTAAAGCTAACCAATTAATATTTACCAGGTGATTTAATGGCAATTTTGCATAGAACTACTTTTGTAAGCTAGTTCAAATATGTATATGTGTCCTTCCTAGAAAAACAGAATTGAAATAGTATGCTTGAGAGACATGTAGGTCAAAGTGACATACTTGACCAAACATGAATCCATAAATTATGGATCTTTGGAAAAACTTGTTTGAAATCTAGGCCTATTTGACCCCTGTGACCTTGAAAAAGGATAAAGGAAATTCATTTGAATAAATTAATATTGTAGCCCTTCTCATCATCAAGCTACATGTCAAATTTCACTCTATGACTTACTGATCTAAAGAAGCACTCTATGACTTACTGATCTTAAGAAGAAGTTTATTTGAATAAAAATTTACAATGGATACTGGAAGGACAGCAGGAGAGACGACAGATGTCACACTATCACACAGTCAATTTGAACGAGATGCTAAAATTCATAGAATGCAGAAGTGACCTATTGGCCACTGATATTTACACAATTGTGATTTGTATACTCACATGTGTGTCGACTGTTCTTTGTATTATCTCTAACACATTAGGTGGTGCTGATTCACTCAGTTTCCTGGTCTGATAACGGAACTGGTGAAGGTTTTCAAAGTAAAAGTCACAGTTACTCTGCAAAGTAAGATTATTATTCATAAATAGTTTTCTTTGATCTTCAATAGAGGTTAGGTACATGAATGTATCTACCTTGATGTAATGTCCCTAATTTATTGACAATTTGTTTACTGCCAGCGTATTCTAAGGTTTCTATTTCTGTGCTTTTATTAGCAAGCTCTTTTCGGTCCCCCTCAATTTATCCTCAAACCCGTTCATAATGCCAAAACAAGTGTTTTACCTATGTGTATCAGATAACACACATTTTCCTACAGTCCCACAGATTCATGATGATCACTCGACACTCACTGTCTTGTATGTTGTGTTAGAAAAAAATGTACATTAAGGAAAGGGATCCTTACGATGAAAGAAAACTCAGAATACATTACCTTCAGACAATTTTTAAACAGAATGGCTTGAGAATTGGACTCTGGCTTCAATTTCTTCAGATGTTGAATTTTTACCACAAGTTGAGACAGGTAGTCAGCTACGTCTTCCTGTAAATTCAAAAAACATAACAGAAAACTGTTAAATCTTTTCATTTTAAACATGAGCAGCAATACCGTAGCATTACAGTTAAATTTCCTGAAGATTTTTGTAGTACAATCATGCCATAATTAATCTGATAAGCCCTCTGCAAGGAACTTAGTAGTTTTGGAAAATTAGAATAACTGTCAAAGCCTTTGAAAAAAAAAAAAAAACAACATTTAAACATGAAGGCATAGGACACCCAGACCAGAAAGAGGATTTGGGGCATTTATATGGTCAAATATGGTATTCAATACATATTTGTACACAAGCTGTGAGAATTATGTTTTTCAGTGATTCATACTTTTAATAACTATTAAACCAGAAAAAAAAATCATCACCAGAAAATCCTATTTCACACAGTAATGATTTTTTTTACTGTAACCAATTGATGTAAGTTATTTTATTTATGAAAGATCAAGCTTCGACAGTTATAGCAATTCACAATGATACATTATACCAATTATACTGTTGCCATATCTTTGATTATAATTTTAGCTGGGAAATATTACAGCAAGATTGTTTATCAACTGAACGAAAGTATTTTAGGTATAAAGAAACATACCAACCTGCGATTTAGCGAGTGTTTTGATGTTACTTTTACTATCGCTGTTTTCATGAGACGAATTGTCCTCAAGTGACTCCACGATGACCTGGTACTGCAAAATAAGGCAGAATACCAATTAATTATATTGAAGCTTTATTGAAGATTTACATAATTTTAATATAAACATATATCACAATGTTTCATAAACCAACTGGTCTCTTTCTAATAATAATAATAATAATAATTTGAGGTTCTTGTATACAGCTTTATCACAACCTAGTTTGCAGGTCGTCTCAAAGTGGTTCACAAATTATTATCCATGGTTATAGGGTCTTTGCAACTGGCCAATATCTTCCTCATCTCCCTGAGGAGCATACAGCCGGTGCTGCCATTTCGGCGCTCACAGCTAGCCTTCTACAATTCTAGCACTACCAAACCACGTACTCATTTACAGCTGAGTAGACTGGAACAAGCCGTATAAAGTATCTTGCTCAAAGATACAGCACAGTGCTGTGCCATGACTTGAATACGCAACCCCTCAGTCACAAGCCCGGCGTCATACCACTAGACTATTGTGCCTCCGTAGGTCACAAGTCTGGCGTCCTACCACTAGACTTCTGTGCCTCCCTAGGTCACAAGTCTGGTGTCCTACCACTACACTACTATGCCTACCTAGCTCACAAGTCTGGCGTCCTACCACTAGACTACTGTGCCTCCCTCGGTCACGAGTCTGGCGTCCTACCACTAGACTTCTGTGCCTCCCTAGGTCATAAGTCTGGCGTCCTACCACTAGACTACTGTGTGCCTCCCTAGGTCACAAGTCTGGTGTCCTACCTCTAGACTACTATGCCTATCTAGGTCACAAGTCTGGAGACCTACCAATAGACTACTGTGCCTCCCTAGGTCACGAGCCTGGCATCTACCACTAGACTACCGTGCCTCCCTCGGTCACAAGTCTGGCGTCCTACCACTAGACTACCGTGCCTCCCTAGGTCACAAGTCTGGTGTCCTCCCACTAGACTACTATGCCTATCTAGGTCACAAGTCTGGCGTCCTACCACTAGACTAGTCACAAGTCTGGTGTCCTACCACTAGACTACTATGCCTCCCTAGGTCACAAGTCTGGTGTCCTACCACTAGACTACTATGCCTATCTAGGTCACAAGTCTGGCGTCCTACCACTAGACTACCGTGCCTCCCTCGGTCACAAGTCTGGCGTCCTACCACTAGACTACCGTGCCTCCCTAGGTCACAAGTCTGGTGTCCTCCCACTAGACTACTATGCCTATCTAGGTCACAAGTCTGGCGTCCTACCACTAGCCTACTGTGCCTCCCTAGGTCACGAGTCTGGCGTCCTACCACTAGACTACTGTGCCGCCCTCGGTCACGAGCCTGGCGTCCTACCACTAGACTACCGTGCCTCCCTCGGTCACAAGTCTGGCGTCCTACCACTAGACTAGTCACAAGTCTGGTGTCCTACCACTAGACTACTATGCCTCCCTAGGTCACAAGTCTGGTGTCCTACCACTAGACTACTATGCCTACCTAGGTCACAAGTCTGGTGTCCTACCCCTAGACTACTATGCCTACCTAGGTCACAAGTCTGGTGTCCTACCACTAGACTACTATGCCTATCTAGGTCACAAGTCTGGCGTCCTACCAATAGACTACTGTGCCTCCCTAGGTCCCGAGCCTGGCGTCCTACCACTAGACTACTGTGCCTCCCTAGGTCACGAGCCTGGCATCTACCACTAGACTACCGTGCCTCCCTCGGTCACAAGTCTGGCGTCCTACCACTAGACTTATGTGCCTCCCTAGGTCACAAGTCTGGCGTCCTACCAATAGCCTACTGTGCCTCCCTAGGTCCCGAGCCTGGCGTCCTACCACTAGTCTACTGTGCCTCCCTAGGTCACAAGTCTGGTGACCTACCACTAGACTACTGTGCCTCCCTAGGTCACAAGTCTGGTGACCTACCACTAGACTACTGTGCCTCCCTAGGTCACACGTACTCTATGCCTATCTAGGTCACAAGTCTGGCGTCCTACCGATAGACTACTGTGCCTCCCTAGGTCCCGAGCCTGGCGTCCTACCACTAGTCTACTGTGCCTCCCTAGGTCACAAGTCTGGTGACCTACCACTAGACTACTGTGCCTCCCTAGGTCCCGAGCGTGGCGTCCTACCACTAGACTACTGTGCCTCCCTCGGTCACAAGTCTGGCGTCCTACCACTAGACTACTATGCCTCCCTAGGTCACAAGTCTGGCGTCCTACCACTCGACTACTGTGCCTCCCTAGGTCACGAGCCTGGCGTCTACCACTAGACTACTGTGCCTCCCTCGGTCACAAGCCTGGCGTCCTACCACTAGACTTCTGTGCCTCCCTAGGTCACAAGTCTGGCGTCCTACCAATAGACTACTGTGCCTCCCTAGGTCCCGAGCACGGCCTCCTACCACTAGACTACTGTGCCTCCCTAGGTCCCGAGCGTGGCGTCCTACCACTAGACTACTGTGCCTCCCTAAGTCACGAGTCTGGTGTCCTACCACTAGACTACTATGCCTATCTAGGTCACAAGTCTGGCGTCCTACCACTAGACTTATGTGCCTCCCTAGGTCACAAGTCTGGCGTCCTACCACTCGACTACTGTGCCTCCCTAGGTCACGAGCCTGGCGTCTACCACTAGACTACTGTGCCTCCCTCGGTCACAAGTCTGGCGTCCTACCACTAGACTTATGTGCCTCCCTAGGTCACAAGTCTGGCGTCCTACAACTAGACTACTGTGCCTCCCTAGGTCACACGTACTCTATGCCTATCTAGGTCACAAGTCTGGCGTCCTACCAATAGCCTACTGTGCCTCCCTAGGTCCCGAGCCTGGCGTCCTACCACTAGACTACTGTGCCTCCCTCGGGCACGAGCCTGGCGTCCTACCACTAGACTTCTGTGCCTCCCTAGGTCACAAGTCTGGTGTCTTACCACTAGACTACTATGCCTACCTAGGTCACAAGTCTGGTGTCCTACCACTAGACTACTTTGCCTACCTAGGTCACAAGTCTGGCGTCCTACCAATAGCCTACTGTGCCTCCCTAGGTCCCGAGCCTGGCGTCCTACCACTAGTCTACTGTGCCTCCCTAGGTCACAAGTCTGGTGACCTACCACTAGACTACTGTGCCTCCCTAGGTCCCGAGCGTGGCGTCCTACCACTAGACTACTGTGCCTCCCTAGGTCACGAGCCTGGAGTCATACCACTAGACTTCTGTACCTCCCTAGGTCAGGAGTCTGGCGTCCTACCACTTGACTACTGTGCCTCCATAGGTCACAAGTCTGGCGTCCTACCACTAGACTACTATGCCTACCTCCACTAGACTACTGTGCCTCCCTAGGTCACGAGCCTGGCGTCCTACCACTAGACTACTGTGCCTCCCTCGGTCACGAGTCTGGCGTCCTACCACTAGACTACTGTGCCTCCATGGGTCACAAGTCTGGCGTTCTACCACTAGACTACTATGCCTACCTAGGTCACAAGTCTGGCGTCCTACCACTAGACTACTGTGCCTTCCTCGGTCACGAGTCTGGCGTCCTACCACTAGACTACTGTGCCTCCCTAAGTCACGAGTCTGGTGTCCTACCACTAGACTACTGTGCCTCCCTAGGTCACAAGTCTGGCGTCCTACCACTAGACTACCGTGCCTCCCTCAGTCACAAGTCTGGCGTCCTACCACTAGACTACTGTGCCTCCCTAGGTCACAAGTCCGGCGTCCTACCACTAGACTACCGTCCCTCCCTAGGTCACACGTACTAGACTACCATGCCTCCCTAGGTCACAAGTCTGGCGTGCTAACACTAGACTACTATGCCTACCTAGGTCACAAGTATGGCGTCCTACCACTAGACTAGTGTGCCTCCCTAGGTCACGAGCCTGGCGTCCTACCACTAGACTCCCGTGCCTCCCTAGGTCACAAGTCTGGCGTCCTGCCACTAGACTACTGTGCCTCCCTAGGCCACAAGTCTGGCGTCCTACCAATAGACTACTGTGCCTCCCTAGGTGTGTCCTACCACTAGACTACTATGCCTATCTAGGTCACAAGTCTGGCGTCCTACCACTAGACTACCGTGCCTCCCTAGGTCACAAGTCTGGTGTCCTACCACTAGGCGACCGTGCCTCCTAAGCCTATGTCTTAAGGCATTGTGCAATGTTAATCTTCTTCAAACTAACTTACTGATGATAAGGTCAGGGGCCTGTGCTAAAAAATGAGTCAAAAGTGAATCAATCAGTCTTAGCTTGACAAACTGACAAGACAGCCCTGGATCATTACAACATATTAACAAAAGGTAAAAAGAAAATATACTTGGATAGGACTCAGTGTGAACTTGAGAAAAAGACGAGTAATTCCTGAAACATCGCAACATGTTTATATGCAAAATGTTGGAGTAAAATGCAAGGATTTGATAGGATGCAAAGTTAGCGGGTTTTTTTAATTTTCATACTGGCATGAAAATATTTACATTTCAATCCATATACATGTATTTACATTTTTACTATAGAACAACTGTTTCATTTTATTTATTTGTTTTTTAATTATTTATTCATATACCGCGTTTTGTATATGTGTCGTCTTTTAAACAACATTAGCGAAACAGCACTTTTTAAATAAAATCGGCCCCAATAATTAACCGTAGTCATTTAAGCGTTTGACGCAGGGGCGTTCTCCATGTTATCTGAAGCGAAGCTACAAGACTTTCATTGAACAAGGTTAATCTATGACGTCATAAGTAAACCATGTGTTACTTCACAAGAGTGTTTGCTTTCATACTCAAATGAAATGTATTTCTGCTGGTAATGTTCATATAGTGGGTTGCAGCATAACTGTAACCATATTTAAATGTATGTTGTTTGTGTAAGATACATTTGGATTTTTCCACTGATGAATGGTACTGAAGACAAACATTTCATTTGCCATGTCACTTTATCATTGCGAAGACAAAACACAACAAACAAGGGAACATTAGTGGGGGGGTTTTCCCTATTTACTGCAACATTTTGAAATTTACGAAAAAAGCTTTTTGTGATTTCAATCTTTTCAAAGTAAAAATGACGTTCACAAAATATTTTTTCTCTTCAAATTTGACCACGTTTTAGATACACATGTCACATGATGACAGAGTGCATGTGTATTTTGGGTTAGAGTAAAAAATCAGTCACACAAAACAATATGAATAAAACAATAGAAATACCTTTCATCAAAATTTGCCAATCATTTACTCAGCAAAGTTGGCTTGCTACCAATTTATCTTTACATCAGTAGTGTACATACCCCAAACACCCTTATATAATACAACGCGACTTCCAGATAACATGATCTTTTATCTGGAGACTTGAATCTCCGAAAGAACGTATTGAATGTAAAAGAAAAATGTTAGACTTTTTCAAGGAGTTGTGCAAAACAGGCCCCAGTTTTTTTAAATCTTCTCAATTCAGGGATTCTTGCTCAGGCTTTTCCCTATGAAAGGACTACTGAAGTAAGGAATCCCCATACCACTGCCAGAAAATGTAACTATGAATTGGAAACTTTTTACCAGCATGAAAAACAACTTTAACAAGAGCACCGCAAACGGATGCATAATACGCCCGTCTGACTCTGTACAATGGTTTTTTGTTTGTTTGATATCTAAAGTACCTGGTACCCAGTGCCATGTCTATGTGATAAAAATGCTTGCACTGATGCTTTTGTTACCAAGAGTGATTGTCATCACTGTAATGTTCACATTTATGTAACTGGTTCTTTGCTCATGTACTGCCTAATGCCTCTTAATCAGGGCATGCAGTACTCCCATAACATGAGAGGCCGCTGGTCGGCCTTTTTTCAATCGGATATGATTTTGCCGACTGCGACCTCTCATTTCCGAAGCACTAATTCTTTGATGCAGTTTCCGCCCGAAATTCGGGCGGAACAAAATCGGCTTGACAAACTCACTTAAGTGGTTAACAGTTCATGACAACGATGTCTACTCACGGTTTATATAATATAGATCTCATATGTATGTCACAGACACAAATATATAGTATATTACGGAATAGAACACTCAAAATACATGTCCATGTCGTTGTAGCACATCTCTGACCTACATTTAAAACATGGCTTCTGGATTAATACAAAATAGCAGGGGGGATTTCAAACGGAACGAAATGATACGGAGTTTTTTTGTATTCCGCTTGTGAAACATTACATGTAATCCATTTTTGTATTAACCGGAAAAATCATGGCAAATGTTGTCTGCTTCGCTTCGAATGAGGAAAAACTCATTATTTATGTCTTTGACACGCAATTTTTCTCATATAATCATGGATTTATGGAAAGGAATATTAATTGGACCCTTTTGACCATTTACATGTATGTAAACACGATATACTCTTTCTTAATCCGAACTTTGAAAATGTGATCGTCAGCATCGGGAAAATCAGCTATGGGCAGTTAGAGGTTACGCGGCGCCTGTCAAAAGTTTTTCGCCGTGTAAGACCTCTAACATTGTTGGAGTAGGCATGCAGTAGACCCTTGAGAGTATGGTTTTGACTCCCTTTAATTTGATTTTGACGTGTGGGTTTATAGGGACATGTCTCCCATAATTGGCTACGTATATACAATTTACAAAAATAGGAATTATTTTCCCAAATAAAATCCATAATGTTCTTGTTAGACCCCACGTGAACATCCATGCCAAAAATTAGGACAATAACACATGATCTTACTGAACTGTAGACCAATGAAGAAACTTGCACCAAAACTTTAACCGGACCAGAAGTGGGATAATAACACTAAGTCTTAGTACTTCACTCCAATACTGGAATAATACCTGCAAATGTCAGAACAAACAAATCAATGTCATCACATGAAGGCATGGTAGTTTAGTGGTAGGACGCCTGGCTCGTGACTGAGGGGTTGCAGGTTCGAATCCTGTCATGGCATTGTATCCTTGAAGAAGATACTTTACTCTGCTTGTTCCAGTCTACTCCGCTGTAAATGAGTACGTGGTTGGGCATTGCTGGAATTGTTGAATGCTAGCTGTGAGTGCCAAAATGGCAGCACCGACTTGAGAAAGATGTTGGCTGATTGCAAAAGCCCTATACCCACGGATAATAATTTGTGAACCACTTTGAGATGTACAACCTAGGGTGTAATAAAGTGGTAAATACTTGTAACAACCTCAAATTATTATTATTTATAAACAATTTTTTTTTATAGAAAAGATAAATATCATGCTACAGTACCTCTGTCAGCTGCCTAGCAGCAGTTTCTTTGATTTTCTCCACTGCTGTATGGAGCATAATCAAATCTGTGAAGACATCCTGACTTCTTTGTTCCATAAATTCTTTTTCCACTTTGTTCATCTGCCGATCAACCATTTTTTCCTGGCACGCCTTACAAATCCTCAGATACAGCGACACCTCCGGCTCCACAGTAGGACTCTGTTGAAAAAATTGATAACGTTATTTCTCGATAAAGTTAAGCAAGGATAAAACTCTTCCATCTTGTCTTAAATGTACAAACATTGAACCAGAGAAGTATGTCCCATCGTTGGCACCCAGAAAACTCCCAGCCAAGGACCTGCTCCAAATCCAGCGGTTCCCTGACGATGTGCAGGCCTCATAGGAGATAGAGGTCAAGGGGTACTGTTCAGTTACTTTCTTAGATGGCAAGTGCAGGTAAGTCTTTCAATTAGGAAGTTCCTCAGTATAACATGTTCTATATAGAAAAGTATTACTGCATGAAGTTAAAGAAAGTTCCGTAACTGAAGATTTGGCTGATTTCACCGGACATCCAAATAATTTTCTAGGTCACACCCATTATAAAGCAAAGCAAAATTTGAATATCAAGAGATTGTTTTAGTTTCGCAACAAATTTGAGAATGTCTATGTTTTGTAACAAAATAAGATGTTTTCTTTAGAATCTTGTATTAAGGCGAAACATATGGACACACATGTACAGTCATGCTCAGACGGCAAACAGATGATTCTCCCTTCACCGTGCTGTGTGGCACAAAAACGGTTGTGTCTATATCAGACAAAGTAAAGTGACATACCCCATAGTAAAGTGACATACCCCATAGTAAAGTGACATCCCCCATAGTAAAGTGACATACCCCATAGTAAAGAGGCATACCCAATAGTAAAGTGGGCATACCCCATAGTAAAGTGTCAAACCCCATAGTAAAGTGACATACAAAGTGAAATACCCCATAGTAAAGTGACATACCCCATAGTTAAGTGGCATACCCCATAGTAAAGTGGCATACCCAATAGTAAAGTGACATACCCCATAGTAAAGTGAAGTGACATACCCCATAGTAAAGTGATATACATAGTAAAGTGACATACCCCATAGTAGGGTGACATAACCCATAGTAGGGTGACATACCCCATAGTAAAGTGACATACCCAACAGTAAAGTGGCATAACCCATAGTAAAGGGACATACCCCATAGTAAAGAGGCATACCCCATAGTAAAGTGAAATACCCCATAGTAAAGTGACATACCCTATAGTAAAGTGGCATACCCCATAGTAAAGTGGCAACCCCATAGTAAAGTGGCATGCCCCATAGTAAAGTGACATACCCCATAGTAAAGTGGAATACCCCATAGTAAAGTGACATACCCCATAGTTAAGTGGCATACCCCATAGTAAAGTGGCATACCCAATAGTAAAGTGACATACCCCATAGTTAAGTGGCATACCACATAGTAAAGTGGCATACTCAATAGTAAAGTGATATGCCCCATAGTAAAGTGGCATACCCCATAGTAAAGGATATACCCCATAGTGAAGTGACATACCCCATAGTAAAGTGGCATACCCCCTAGTAAAGTGACATACCCCATAGTAAAGTGAAGTGACATACCCCATAGTAAAGTGATATACATAGTAAAGTGACATACCCCATAGTAGGGTGACATACCCCATAGTAAAGTGACATACCCAATAGTAAAGTGGCATACCCAATAGTAAAGTAACATACCCCATGGTGAAGTGACATACCCCATAGTAAAGTGGCATACCCAATAGTAAAGTGACATACCCCATAGTTAAGTGGCATACCCCATAGTAAAGTGGCATACCCCATATTAAAGTGACATACCCCATTGTAAAGTGGCATACCCCATAGTAAAGTGACATTCCCCATAGTAAAGTAACATACCCCATAGTAAAGTGACATACCCCATAGTAGGGTGACATAACCCATAGTAGGGTGACATACCCCATAGTAAAGTGGCATACCCCCTAGTAAAGTGACATACCCCATAGTAAAGTGAAGTGACATACCCCATAGTAAAGTGATATACATAGTAAAGTGACATACCCCATAGTAGGGTGACATACCCCATAGTAAAGTGGCATACCCGATAGTAAAGTGACATACCCCATAGTAAAGTGAAGTGACATACCCCATAGTAAAGTGATATACATAGTAAAGTGACATACCCCATAGTAGGGTGACATACCCCATAGTAAAGTGGCATACCCCCTGGTAAAGTGACATACCCCATAGTAAAGTGACATAACCCATAGTAAAGTGACATACCCCATAGTAAAGTAACATACCCCCTAGTAAAGTGACATACCCCATAGTAAAGTGAAGTGACATACCCCATAGTAAAGTGATATACCCCATAGTAAAGTGACATACCCCATAGTAGGGTGACATAACCCATAGTAGGGTGACATACCCCATAGTAAAGTGACATACCCAACAGTAAAGTGGCATAACCCATAGTAAAGTGACATACCCCATAGTAAAGTGGAATACCCCATAGTAAAGTGACATACCCCATAGTTAAGTGGCATACCACATAGTAAAGTGGCATACTCAATAGTAAAGTGATATGCCCCATAGTAAAGTGGCATACCCCATAGTAAAGGATATACCCCATAGTGAAGTGACATACCCCATAGTAAAGAGACATACCCCATAGTAAAGTGACATACCCCACAGTAAAGTGGCATACCCCATAGTAAAGTGACATACCCAGTGACATACCCCATAGTAAAGTGACATACCCAATAGTAAAGTGGCATAACCCATAGTAAAGTGACATACCCCATAGTAAAGCGACATACCCCATAGTAAAGTGACATACCCCATCATAGTAAAGTGACATACCCCATAGTAAAGTGAAGTGACATACCCCATAGTAAAGTGATATACATAGTAAAGTGACATACCCCATAGTAGGGTGACATAACCCATAGTAGGGTGACATACCCCATAGTAAAGTGGCATACCCAATAGTAAAGTGATATACCCCATAGTAAAGTGACATACCCCTGCTCAGACGGCAAACAGATGATTCTCCCTTCACCGTGCTGTGTGGCACAAAAACGGTTGTGTCTATATCAGACAAAGTAAAGTGACATACCCCATACTAAAGTGACATACCCCATAGTAAAGTGGCATTCCCCCTGGTAAAGTGACATACCCCATAGTAAAGTGACATAACCCATAGTAAAGTGACATACCCCATAGTAAAGTGGAATACCCCATAGTAAAGTGACATACCCCATAGTGAAGTGACATACCCAATAGTAAAGTGGCATACCCAATAGTAAAGTAACATACCCCATAGTAAAGTGACATTCCCCATAGTAAAGTAACATACCCCATAGTAAAGTGACATACCCCATCATAGTAAAGTGACATACCCCATAGTAAAGTTACATACCCCATAGTAAAGTGGCATACCCCATATTAAAGTGACATACCCCATAGTAAAGTGACATCCCCCATAGTAAAGTGGCATCCCCCATAGTAAAGTGGCATACCCCATAGTAAAGTGGCATACTCAATAGTAAAGTGATATACCCCATAGTAAAGTGACATACCCCATAGTAGGGTGACATAACCCATAGTAGGGTGACATACCCCATAGTAAAGTGGCATACCCGATAGTAAAGTGACATACCCCATAGTAAAGTGACATACCCCATAGTTAAGTGGCATACCCCATAGTAAAGTGGCATACTCAATAGTAAAGTGATATACCCCATAGTAAAGTGGCATACCCCATAGTGAAGTGACATACCCAATAGTAAAGTGGCATACCCAATAGTAAAGTAACATACCCCATGGTAAAGTGACATACCCCATAGTAAAGTGGCATACCCCATAGTAAAGTGACATACCCCATAGTAAAGAGGCATACCCAATAGTAAAGTGGGCATACCCCATAGTAAAGTGTCAAACCCCATAGTAAAGTGACATACCCCATAGTAAAGTGACATACCCCATAGTAAAGTGGCATACCCCATAGTAAAGTGAAGTGACATACCCCATAGTAAAGTGATATACCCCATAGTAAAGTGACATACCCCATAGTAAAGTGGCATACCTCATAATAAAGTGACATGCCCCATAGTAAAGTGACATACCACATAGTAAAGTGGCATACCCCATAGTAAAGTGACATACCTCATAATAAAGTGACATACCCCATAGTAAAGTGGCATACCTCATAATAAAGTGACATGCCCCATAGTAAAGTGACATACCCCATAGTAAAGTGACATACCCCATAGTAAAGTGACTTACCCCATAGTAAAGTGCCATACCTCATAATAAAGGAACATGCCCCATAGTAAAGTGACTTACCCCATAGTAAAGTGCCATACCTCATAATAAAGGAACATGCCCCATAGTAAAGTGGCATCCCCCATAGTAAAGTGACTTACCCCATAGTAAAGTGACTTACCCCATAGTAAAGTGACATACCTCATAATAAAGTGACATACCCAATAGTAAAGTGGCATACCTCATAATAAAGTGACATACCCCATAGTAAAGTGACATACCCCATAGTAAAGTGTCATACCACATAATAAAGTGACATACCCCATAGTAAAGTGACATACCCCATAGTAAAGTGGTATGACACTTTACTATGGGGTATGTCACTTTACTATGGGGGAAGTCACTTTACTATGGGGTATGTCACTTTATTATGAGGTATGTCACTTTACTATGGGGTATGCCCACTTTTCTATGGGGTATGTCACTTTACTATGGGTTATGCCGCTTTATTATGGGGTATGTCACTTTACTATGGGGGATGTCACTTTATTATGAGGTATGCCACTTTACTATTGGGTATGTCACTTTATAATAAAGTGACATCCCCAATAGTAAAGTGGCATACCTCATAATAAAGTGACATACCACATAGTAAAGTGGCATACCCCATAATAAAGTGACATACCCTATAGTAAAGTGAAATACCCCATAGTAAAGTGACATACCCTATAGTAAAGTGGCATACCCCCTAGCAAAGTGACATACCCCATAATAAAGTAACATATACCCCATAATAAAGTGACATACCCCATAATAAAGTGACATACCCTATAGTAAAGTGAAATACCCCATAGTAAAGTGACATACCCTATAGTAAAGTGAAATACCCCATAGTAAAGTGACATACCCTATAGTAAAGTGGCATACCCCCTAGCAAAGTGACATACCCCATAATAAAGTAACATATACCCCATAATAAAGTGACATACCCCATAATAAAGTGACATACCCTATAGTAAAGTGAAATACCCCATAGTAAAGTGACATACCCTATAGTAAAGTGACATACCCCATAGTAAAGGGGCATACCCCATAGTAAAGTGGCATACCCCATAATAAAGTGACATACCCCATAATAAAGTGACATACCCTATAGTAAAGTGACATACCCCATAGTAAAGTGGGCATACCCCATAGTAAAGTGACATACCCAATAGTAAAGTGACATATAACCCATAATAAAGTGACATATAACCCATAATAAAGTGACATACCCCATTGATTTTGATGATGGCCAGTCTAGGTTCAGTCTGGTTTGACCGCTCCTCATCAGGAATATACACAAGTAAGTCTTTAGAAGAACAGGACTTGCACAGGCCCCTACTACACAGTCGGCAGTGATGCTTTTTTCGCATCAAGGAAAACTTTGATTTACATGTTTGACATGATTCTGCCTTGACTTCCATCTGAAAAAAATCATTGGTCAATTTAAAGCTACACAAAACCCATGGCAGAAATTCGTATAATAATTAAGACAAAATGTTTATACATGTTCATGTGTATATAATCTACACACAAGATATCTAGCAAGAAATGGATGGTGACTAATTTGATGTATTGCAGAATGATGAATTGATATTACAATCATTTATCCTGCAAAAAGTCTGCAGGGAGGAGAGGCAACCTAGCTATACTCTCTAACTCAAAGTAGGAAGTAGGGAGGTGGGGTTATTGCAAGAGAAAGACATAGCGTTGTTTTGCATTCTACCGTAACTGTACTAGATACAGGAGGGCTTATCACCAAACAAGGGCTCATTAATACTGCATAAGTACATGTACAGAAAATTCCGATACGCAAAAGTCACTCCAACTTATCTTTCTACCTATATTTTTAATGTCATGTCTATGTAATAAAAATGCTTGCACTGATGCTTTTGTTACCAAGAGTGACTGTCATCACTGTAATGTTCACATGTGAAGTGAAATGAATATCTTTGTTGCTTCTACATGTAATAAGCTTTATTATATTATTCTCAAAAAGGTTAAGTTTACTTACAAACAAAAGTGTTGATTTGTACCATAAAAATTCACCTTAGATCTCTATCTAGAATGCTTGTTATATCTGTTCAGACTTGGAAAAAGAAAGAGTCAGACAAAGCAAAAAAGAAAATTGAAAGAAAGACAGAAGGGGAAACAAACAAATGAAGATTACCATCCAGTATGTTGACTTCTGCCAGTTAGGCACAGCAATGAGAGTCTTCACCTCGTGTAGCGATCTCTTTAACTCTGAGTTTCCCACCGCTAGCTTAAATCCAGTGATTAATCGCTTACACTCTACTTCTAAGTCAAATCTAGAAGAAAAAGAAGTATGTCTTAGGAGTTACGGTTGTCTAGTGGTAGGACGCCGGGCTCATGACCAAAGGGTGGTGGGTTCGAGTCATGGCACGGCACTGTGTTGTATCTTTGAGCAAGATACTTTACTCTGCTTGTTCCAGTCTACTCAGCTGTAAATGAGTACGTGGTTGGGCAGTGCTTGAATTGTAGAATGCTAGCTGTGAGTGCCGAAATGGCAGCACCGGCTGTATGCTCCCAAGGCAGTTGAGAAAGATATTGACTGGTTGCAAAAGCCCTATAATAATTTGTGAACCACTTTGAGACGACTTACGAACTAGGTTGTTATAAAGTGGTATATAAGAACCTCAAATTATTATTAAGATTGGCATTTCATAAGGCTTTATGTAGAGATCCAGTATCAAATTAAGTTTCTGCCTCCGCTAAGAATGACACATTTGTAGTAGGACTAGGAATAGTGAAAAATATTGCCATGACGCTGGGGCTCGAACCTCTGACCCTTTGCTCTCCAGCCGATCAATGCTCTACCGCTGAGCTTGATAACACTAAAACTGAGTGACCATATTGTGATCAGGGATAACTCTGGGTTCAAACTCTAGTTGACCTCAAAGTATTTTTACCCAACATTTTCACATGCAAACATATTACCCTAAACTTGAGGCTGACACTCAATACTTCTGTAACAGGAAAAAGAGAAATGCAATGGTCAGACCAGGCAGACCATGGTTTTAACCCAGGACCATTCAAATTCTAGCCAGATGCTCTACCAATTGAGCTGCATGGTCGACCCCGTTTCATTCCTCCCTCCTTTTCCTTTTTTCCTGAAGACAACACTATTTACAAACCAGGTTGGGGAATCCCCTTGCCAAGTATACACGCAATGTTTAAAACAATGGTTGGCAAGCCTGCCAATTCAGTAACAAGAGAAAGAGAAATGCAACAGCCATACAAGGGTTTGAACCCGGGACCCTCGACTTCTGGATGGGCACTCTGCAAATTGAGCTTCACTTCCACCAAGGATGACCCGAAACCAAATCTATCCTACTATCATAAGACTCTGTAAAAAAATGTGACAAAATTAAAGCTGTCATCGACGCTTGGTGTCAAACCCATACCTACGGAGACGTGACTTTGCATTTCATAATTTTTCTACTCTTTTAAAACATATTCTTGTTTAATTTCTAAATTGTCTAAAAAAAATACTAAATTTATTATTTTGACCTCTCAGAATATCAGTGTCAACTTCTACCAAAATCCACGATAAAGATCTGGGAGAAACGGAGTGCAGCATTATGCTGATATAGAGAAAATAGAAACTCTACCAATTGCCTTGACATGACTCGTTTTATCCCCAAAATCTGCTCAATTGTAGGTAAACTTTCTACATGCCCTATACCTACATAGTTAGGATCAGTCGTATCTGTTCTACACCCTGGAAAATCCTTTGCAGAAACTTCAAGTTTTTTTAATCTATCAACAGATAAAGTGTCCACCATTATGTTGGTATAGGGGAAATAGAAATTCTACCCTTAATTGGGTGTAGAATTTTGAGCAAGAACTTTTACAAGACAGTTTTAACCTAAACTTCTAAAACTGTGGGTTAATTTTCCCTTTCACCCCTATGAAACTTCAGTAGACTCTACCATGCATTGATCTGGATGAGTCCATTATGGTCTACAGTGGTGAAAGGGTTAATTTGTTATATCCCCTATACCTATACATGGTTATGATCAGTCGCATCTCTTATACAACCTATGAATTTCTTTGCAGATACTTCAGAATTTTAGCATCTATCAATTGATGACAGACTACACACGGAACACCTTTTTGACTAGGATAGTTGTAACAAACCTATTTCTCCATGACCTGTCCTTGGTTGCCGTTTCTGAAGTGTTTTGCACCACCTTGATCTGTGTTCGTAGCTCCAGAAATGTGCTGGTCATGCTGACAATGACCCCCTGGTTATCTTTGCCCTCCACAAAGCACTGCTGACATACCTGTATGATAAAACAAATACACAATAGATGGCCTCTGTGACTTTTAAAGTGAACCAAGGTAATTAATTTGAACAAATTTGGTAGCCTGTCTTTCAAGCATATTAATTGCCAAACACTATTACCCTAAACCTTTTGGATATTCAGAAGAAGCTGTTTGAAACTTTTAATGTATTAGACCCCTGTGACATTAAAGGTGACTCAAGGTCACTAATTTGAACAAAAATAGTAGCCATTTATCCCAGCATGCTACCAGGCAAATATCATAACCCTGGCCATTTTGCTTATTCAGACAAAGTCATTTGAAGATTTTTTGAACATTTGACCCTGTGACATGTTAGTGGGTCAATTTCACTCATTAAAACAAACTTGAAAGCCCTTTACCCTAGCATGCTATTGGCCAAATATCATCATATGCCTTTTGGTTCTTTAGTCATTTGATACATTTGACCCCAGTGACCTTGAAAGTAGGTCAATGTCACTCATTTAAGCAAACTTGGCAATAATCCATCCCAGCATGCTACATTTTTGTACCTGCAAATATCATCACCTTGAACCTTTTGGTTATTGAGGAGAAGTTGTTTGAAGAATTTTTTATCATTTCACCCAAAGCCTGTGAGTAGGTCAAGGTCATTCATTTCACTCCAGTGACTTTGAAAGTGGATCAAGGTGATTCATATGAACAAACTTGGTACATGTAGCCCTTCACTTGTGCATGATACTTGTCAGAAATGATCACTGTTGGTGCTTGGGTTATTCAGAAGAATTATTCAAATATTTTAACAAATTTGAACATTACTATCTGGCCTCAATTCTATAGCAGTATAAATGGACCTTTTGACCTTGAATACATTAACCTATAGGGAAAATATCTGGGGTTTATATACTTTTTCATTAGCAAAGCTATTTACATGAACAAATGATGACTATCCCATAAACTTTATGTCAGAATTTTTGTTCCACAACTGAGCTGAAATAACTTCTATATCATCAATAGGTCCTGCTGTAATTACCTTGTACCGTTTCCCATCAGGATCAGGGTTGGCCAGATGGTTAAGTCTTCTTTTGTATTGAAGGCAGTTCTCACAGAATGTTCCTCCACATCTTAGATAAAGCAAAACAGTTAGTGATCTAGTTATGCTATTGGTTTACTTTTCAAAGGTCCCAACACCTTGTTACCATAATTTTGAAAAACAAATTCTTTAAAATTTGAATTCAACAAATTACTAAACAGTTTCTGTTATCTTAAGAAATAAGATAAAAAAAGAAGAATATGTTAGGCTGAACTTACTTATTTTCTCACTATATCAATGTACAATGGAAATCAGTTGAGAACAGTTTTAAATGTATTCTACATAATGTTATACTTCTAGATATATTGCATCAAGATAAAGATGCTTATTATTTTTCATATCATTCCCAACAAGTGACTGACCAGGAGTGCATCACGTGTCTACCGATAAAAAACGATATTGACTTGGAGTGCGTGATTTTTGTTGATGGACTGTGTGTTTCTAAAAATAGAATTATGACGTGTCTCCAAACAACGCCGTCCCGCTTCCGAAGTTTTTTTGTTGTGATTTTTTTTATTCAGATTGCTTACATCACTGTTTTGAAAATAATAAAACAATTGTAGCCGTTATCTTCGGTCGATATCAACCTCAGCCAAAGGCTATAATTGAATATTAATAGATGAAAGAACACCTGCTTGTAAGATATTTTCCAACTTTTAGAATTTTCAATTTTCAGTTGTTATTCTGAAACTGATTTTATTACATTTTTGCGTATGAAATATCGGGTTCTATCAACTTGATAAAGCTGATATCTTTCACACTGTGATATTGAAAGTGATATTTTCAGTGTGAAAATACCAATTTTAGGTATTGACCAATCATAATGGTATCTTCTATTCGCTGCATTCAAAGGCAACAATTTTTTGTTCAGATTAAAATGAAGCGACGGTAGAATAAATATACAATTAATAACATTTCTTAAGCAATCATACCAGAAAATAGCAAAAAACGTCGGAATTGCGTTGAGTATCCCATTCAAAATGGCGCACAGCCTTGTTGTCAAGCGTGACGTCATTAGAATATGGCGCTAAATATTACGCTTCTGATTCATGCCCTTTTTTAATGCAATACATTTTTCATGTTTTATGTTTTAAAAATGTAATAAATAGAAAATTTAATGATGTCTTCAGTAATAACAAATATATTTCACTCGTATGTGAAAAATATCAAAATATTAGCCACACTCGTGAATTATGTTTGTTATTACTTTACTGAAGACACCATTAAATATCCTCTATATATTGCATGGAATCTGACACACAAATTTCTGTAGATTAAGGCATATTTGCCAACTCTTCCTATCTTGGACCCTAACATTGAACATTTTCAACCATTGAATTTGTTAGACTATTTCTATTTTCTAAGATCTGGAAGAACAGCTCAAAAGAAGTCATTTAAAAGGGTCATCTCACCCTAGGGTGTCTATACACACATTTTATTTATGTTTTTATTCCAGGGCACAATTGATCTCCCCATGGAAATTTTAAAAAGTCGGCAAGTATGCATTAAGTTGTTTTTTTCAAATACAAGCGTGTGATCTTTCTCTATTGAAATGAATTTCTTACATCAGATTTTCCATCATATCACGTTTGTCTAACGCTAACCAGAATTTTTCCGACCAACTGACTATAAAATGGCACCTTACTCCCCAGATAGCAAGACATTGTCGGGCCAGCGGCATATATGAGATCGCATATCGACATTGGCCCAACGGTGGAGTTAAGCTGCATAGCCAACAATCGCATCTCGCTGATGGCTCACGGTTGGAAATTAACTAATCATCGTATATCCGGTATAGCCTAGTTCTGAATATAGCTTAGTGGGAAAAATTGGTAGCGGGTACGTGTTGCAATGTCTTGACAAAAGTAAGTTACTGATGCATCGGCAATTATCTACGAGTAGGATGAAAACGTGTAAATATAAAGTTGAATATAATTAAAGATCTACATTCTATTTTCAGTGACAACTTGTTTTTAAATCACTTCAATTCGAATTCTGGTGGTTTAGCCCCATGTCCTGTTCGCACCATCTGCCCATGTGACATAATGACATGTAGAGTGATGAAAATCGTGATTGGATAATTCCAGATCCCGATTTGCATATTTACAGGGAAAGGAACTCTTGTTTGGTTAAAATGCAAAACGAAATCGCTAAACTCCACTTTTTAAATGGACAGAAATGTTAAATATAACGGGCTGGGTGTTCGAGCGTTGTTATAATTACAAGAGTACAATTTTATTATGATCAGATGGTGGCCCAACGTTGGGCCAACAATATTTTCAGACAATGGCCCAACATAATTTTCTGTCACCAGTGGCCCAACGTTGGGCCAACGGACAAAAAGCTGTTTGGCCAATGTTGTATGCCTACGTTGGGCCAACGGTACAGTTTCGTTGGGCCAATGTTGGCCCATCAGCGGTGTGCCATCTGGGTCATACCTTTTTTTTGAAATTTTGGTAAACTATTTTTTCCTGATAGAAAATCACTGACACTTACGGTTTATCAGTAAATCAAAGATTTCTAATACAGTGTCTGACTTTCTTATTACCGTGTACATAGGCATCAACATCGTGTATATATATGTAGCTTTACAGGAAACAGGCGAACTTTGATATGATTAAAATGTCTGTGCATGGTCATATAATTGATGTCTTATAAGGTTACATCAATGAAACCAACTTGGCTGAAATGAAAACATCAGACTGAGATACACAAAATTTAAACCAACCTGGGCTTAAAAAACCCAAATGAACATGGAGGCACCATACCTGCGACAATGGTGAGCTCTTTGTATCAGAGACAATTTCACTTTACAATCCTTGTTAGAACAATTGGAGCCCGGAGTTTTCCAATGTTTTCTTGATATTTCTGAAATTAGAATATCATTCATTACTGAAAGCTTTCACACAGCCATAAACAACCATTATTAATACCCAGGCTAACAAACTTTCCAGAAAACTTACCTTTCTGCACACTAACCCGAGTTTCCTCTGGCCCTGACACCAGACTTAGACATTTTGACAGATAGATGCCTGGTGTTGGGCCAGAGCGCACTGCTTTATGAAAATGTGGAATTCTCCGACACTGGTTGGTGTCGGAGAGTTTTGAGGTGCTAACAACAAAAATTGACTATGACACAACACATACCTCACATACATTCTATAAATGGATTATTTGTTTATCCAAATCCACCCTCATTATCATCAGCAGCTGCTCCATTCCGTCAGTAGAGTCCTGGGTTTTGAATCGTTCAAAATTCCCCACCTGATAAGCGAACGCCATTTTTACAGGTCAAGGGGTGACTGATCAACAAACCGTACTAATCCAGACCGAAAACGGAAATTATTATTCTTGTTTAGAAGATTTCCACACCGCGTCTTTTTGTTGATTAGTCACTCTCCGATACCAAACAGTGTCAGAGAATTCCATGTTTTCATATAGTAGTGCTGCTGCGCTCTGGCCCCACACCAGATATCTATCTGTCAAAATGTCTAAGTCTGGTGTCAGGGCCAGAGGAAACTCGGGCTACCAGGCATCTATCTGTCAAAATGTCTAAGTCTGGTGTCAGGACCAGAGGAAACTCGGGCTATCTGCACACCTGATAAAACATCCTTACAAACTGGGATGAATAATTAACAACTGATCCAATACTTCTGGAATTCTTAATTCATTCTTTTAAAAGAAACCCATTGACTTTTAATGTATGCTTTATTAGCGTATATCCTGGGAATATTTACTTTTTTACTATAGTAGCATATATGTAGATAAGGCATTGTGCCATTTTAATTGACGAACCGGCAAATTTGCACAATTAATTCTGTGATAATTTTTAAACTTGTATTAAGCAATATTGTATCTTAGATGATAAACTTTAACCTAATTTCAACACTTGTACATTCTGTGATATCCTTATAGCTGATACTAAACATTAAATTCTCTAACGATATAATGTTGCAATATTTATGTATTTGTGATATTTTTAATTATGATTTACTAACCACTTACAGTGTTATATGTTTTACTAACAATGAGGACCATGTGGTAGATAAGCTTTTGGCTAAACATGTCATCCTCAATAAATAAAGTTTATTATTATTATGAGTATTATAAATGACAAATTCCTGACTTGGATCATCATCTGAGATTCATAAACTAATAAGAAGTCGTTTAAAGAATTACAGTACCCTGCATTGCAGATGCAATTTTATTTTTGAAAAGTGACAAATCATATATTACATGGCCTGATGCAAGCACATTTCCGGACATAGGATTCAGTTAAATGTGGTAAAAAAAAATGTTCGTGTGAAAAATACTTTTATGTGTATAAAATTATGTTATGTATAAAAAAACTACCAGTTATGAGCACAGAATCACTTTAATATTTAGCTTAGTTTATTGTTTTCAAATGTATTTTCACAAATTTCACTGTTATTAGTGTCATTACAAATTTTAACTACTAGTAAAACTGATTCTGTAGAATCTTTTATAAAGAAGGATATTGCTTTCACTTAAACAATGAGATGCTTGCCTTTCTTTTTGTCTTCTGAGTCAGCTGAGCTTGCTGTAGTGTCAGCAGTAAGGCCTGCTAACTCCACCTGTTTAGTCCAGGCGCTGTGACCCTCCCCTTCAAATCCCCATGGTGACCGCCCCGATGGCGATACTGACATGATTACCGAAATAATTCACCAGATATCACCGGTTTTTATGTCTGAAGAAAAAACGAAAACAATTTCTGAGAATTACCAGAAAAAAATATCAGTTGGTAATAAACATAAAACCGACATGGACACATTTGGAGAAAATTATAAAGATTACAGAACCTCTAAAAGTCTGCACAGAAATAGCCATTAAGACTACCATTACAATACATATAAGATGTCACAATACATTACCTGATATAGCAACTGACCTGTAGTCTAACCGTCACCTGATACATGTATGTACATCCATATCTTATCTGAAAGCGAAAGTAGGTAAATCCATTCTAATCAGTTTCCGAAATATTCTGTATGATAACATTGGATAACATCAGAGGACTACCAAACGTCTAGGCGCATTCGTGTGACATTGTAGTGGATGCATTCGATCAGGAACGTGTGTTATCCATATGTTGCTAATTCATTGTATACACTTTGCGATATTTTTTTCAGAAATAGATTAACGTCAGTTTTTAATGTATATATAGGGTATTGAGTTTTAAATATCTGTTTATCTATGACATTTTTTGTGTCGAATCGTTCCGGGAACAGAGAACATTCTTTGAAATATAACGTTACCCCCAATATTATAAAGAGGAAAAATATATTTTTACGAATAATAATGATAATAATAATAATATACAACATTTATATAGCGCTCTATACAATTTGTAAAATTACTCTAAAGTAAAACAAAAGCAAAGGCTTACAATCACTTTTATACATTTAATTAAGCAGATAATCATCGCAATGTGCACATAAATGAACAAATAAAGGGTGGTATTTACATGACGTCTTTGCAAAGAGCCTAAAATGCAGACGTGAAGAGGTGAGTTTTGATGTCCTTCTTGAATTTGGTCAGGGTGTTTGACTTTCTAATAGCAGATGTTAAGCTCTTCCACAACGTGGCCGAAACCCTTCCAAAGCACCGGGTTCATAGGTCACAGTACGAGTTTTTGGGACACACAACAATGATTTTAACTCCGACTGCAGTGATCGTGACGGCTGATACAGGGTTACAAACTGCTGTAGATACTGGGGAGCTGTTCCATTCAGTGCCTTGTATGTGTACACGAAAATTTTGTACTGCAACCTGTATCGTACAGGTAACCAGCTGTGCAATGAATATAGCACAGGTGTGATGTGCTCTCTCTTTCGAGTACGAGTAACAAGCCGTGCTGCAGTGTTCTGGACCCTCTGCAGACGACTAGTTAGTTTGTCAGAAATACCACAGAGCTATGGCAAGCCAACTTAACATTTATTCAAGGAGCAATGTCGATCCTGTATCTCAAAAAAAAATCAAAAAAATCTTATATAGCATATGAGATATCTTATATACTATATAAGATATCTTATATCGTATATAAGATATCTCATATAGTATATGCGATATCTTATATAGTATATGAGATATCTTACAAAATATATAAGATATCTTATATACTATATGAGATATCTTATATAGAAATTAAATGAGATGCTATATAAGATATCTTATATCGTATATAAGATATCTCATATAGTATATGCGATATCTTATATAGTATATGAGATATCTTACAAAATATATAAGATATCTTATATACTATATGAGATATCTTATATAACATAAAAGATATCTTATATAATATATAAGATATCTTATATCCTATATGAGATATCTCATATAGAAATTAAGTGAGATATATTATATAAGTATATAAGATATCATATATACCATATAAGATATCTTATATCGCATATAAGATATCTCATTTAATTTTCTATATAAGATATCTCATATAATATATAAGATATCTCATATAGCTATATAAGATATCTTATATAATTGAAATCTCGTTGCTATATAAGATATCTGATATAGAATGAGATTTCGTGGCATTAAAAACCAGAAACTAATTTCTCCTTCGAGAATCATTCAGAGCACATTCAGGATTGCATTGGGCGCTATGGCGGAGAGGGATGGTACGGATGCTGTATTTTCCCTAGGCCTAGCTCGCTTTGTCTCTCTTATAGCGGCCAAAGCAGAGGCTGCCATTTTCCGCACTCTTGAAGTGGGCTCAGACATAATGGCGGCGACAGGAACACGTGTTGTTACAACAAGCCTACTGTCCCTACGTAGATCCTCGAGATATTCCGGACGGGGAGACTTCATTTTCGACATTTTGTTAAAATCTCGTTCCTATATAAGATATCTTATTTAGTAACGAGACTTTAATTATATAAGATATCTTATATAGCTATACGAGATATCTTATATATTATATAAGATATCTCATATACTATATAATCATATAGTATATAAGATATTTTATATATTATATAAGATATCTCATATACTATATACGATATATCATATACTATATGAGATATCTTATATACGATATAAGATATCTTATATAGTATATAAGATATCTCATATGCTATATAAGATATCTTATATAATTCGATGAAATACAGGATCGACATTGCTCATTGAATAAATGTTAAGTTGGCTTGACATACAGAGTGTTAGCATGATGCAACCCAGAGGTAACAAGTGAACGACCAAAATCTTTCATGCATCTGCAGTTATAAGCTGCCGGATACAGCCGATGTTCCTGATCTGATAGTAAAAGGATTTGACAATAACGTTCACATGTTTTGCCATTTTCAATGAACTATCAAAGTATACCCCTAGGTTTTTAACAGCTGGGGCAGTCTCAATAGTTCTGGCACCGACCTTGAGCTGGAGAGCCATTGTTTGCTGACACTTTGGGGAAAGACGATTAGTTCATTCTTTTCCTGATTAAGCTTTAGCATGTTGGTGTTCACCCTGGTTCTGATATCCGTCAGACAAGCTTCCAGATTTTCTGAAATTGTATCCCAACTGTCATGTGGCTTGTTGATCATGTACATTTGTGTGGCATCAGCATAGCAAGGATAGCGAAGGCTATGGCGACGACAAATCTCTTCATGATCGGTTTGGAGAACTGCAAATGTGTCGAATAACTTAAAAAATGTAGTATGTGCTAATAATTTAATTGCTTAAAAATTAACAGGATAAACATAGGGAAACATTGATTTATTATATTTCAATAGTAGTCGTAGAATAATGGTATGACGTCGACAACTGTGAGTTCGAATTCGTTAGCTGTAATTAACTGTTGGTGATCGTTCCAAGGGAGGTAACTCGAAACCTGAAAATCTCAAATCACTTCACTGTACAGACTTCCTTATCTTGTTCACTTTTAGATGAATAGCTGTGATATTTTATAGTGTGATATATAGGGTATTGAAAAATGTGATACATAAAAAGATGCTTTTCAAGTCCGTAATTGCACGTATTTTTATAAATTGTTTGGAAGGGTCATAACAGTCACATTATTCTGACAACGGATGAATCAGTTGTTGTCATTGCCCTTAATGCTGTACGTTAAGCATGGAATAGCAACTACCATTTTTAAGGACGTGTGTATGGCCTTAAGCTTCCTCACCTATGCGAACGCTCAACAATCAAGCCAAACGTGAGGTATTGCCGAAGCAAGGCGATAGGACATAAAATGTAGATAGAAAAAGAAAGAAAGATAAAGATCCCAAATATTGCAATGGGTGCATCAGATTTGTTTTGGTCAATTTTGTATATTAGAGGACACACAAGCAAATGCCCTATTATGCAAGGGGTTCCAACATTACTCGCCTCTAACGATACATGCAGTAAGTAACAACAGGTGTAACCATTTCTTAATCCCCGACCTGCAGGAGTGACGTATAAATTGTTCTTTGCCTTTGACCAAAATAAAGTATTATTGATATTAGTAATCCGATAAAACATCTCTTTCTTAACTAGTAATTGAAGCAAAAAATTGGAACCAGAATGTAACTTAATGAGGTCTATTCTGTTGTCCTGTGATTTTGTAAAAACATGGTACTCTGTTCGTTTAGCTATTATTAATCAAGGTTCGTTTTCCTCACCAGTGTTTGAAAATTCCAAACAACGCGTACCTAACTTTACATGTGTAACACACGCAGGAAAATGCTCGGCCAGACCGAGGTTTGAACCCGGTCCCTCCAAACTCTAGACGGGTGCTCTACCAAGTAATCTACATGTACCTGACCGCCGACGATCAACCCAGTCAAGTTCCGCTACATTCCTCAATCCTCTTTCTCAGTCTTCGCCCCCGTAGACACAACTATTTACAACCCTGGTTTGATTATCCCCTTGCCAAGCGTACACCAAGGGTTGGTCACAGACACCACTGTAACAGGAGAGAGAGAAAAATGCACTGCAATACCGGGGTTCGGCCCGGGACCCTCCGACCTCTAGACAGACTCTATACCAATTCAGTTACCAGCTGGTCGCCAATGATCGACCAAGCCAAGTTTAACTTCACATTTGTGATGGTTTTCTCTTCACAAACGGATGTGATAATGTCACAATATTTCTTTTATTTAGTAAAGAGATTATAGGATTAAACTTTGACCAAAATCCTAGGATGTTCCATTTCCTGTGCACATTCTAAATATCAAATGAGAAAAACACCAGCCATTATTCTTTAATCTTAGAATTACTAATCAAAATGTACAAAGGTGCTTAAACGCCATTTTCTAGTGTTCGCTATACTTGTTTAGTTAGAAGGAAGTACAAACATGAGTCGTAAGGATATACATGTATCTAGAATAATATCTTCCTTATTAATGTTACATGTACATGAACCACACATCAGTTGTAAGAACACAACTCATATTTGCGTTGTTTGAGAACAAAACTTACTTGTTAGAACATTTCAGAATAATTAAATATAGTGTAAATCTTAATCTTAGTAATCAAAATACCTGAAGTATCTAAACGTCGTATTGACCGGCTCGTCTTCCCTTTCAGTTTGTATATGTATTGAAAACGAGACCAGATCACTTCAGATTTTAGAAAACGGAAACTCCGTAGTTTATCGGTTTCCGAGGATGTATTTATATACGATGTCTTTAATTACACACGTGTTACCGTACACTAATTCCCGATGTATGTGTGCACTACACATGTGGTCAGTGTTGTCTCTGTTACTGCAGTTTAAACTGCTGTTAAACATTGAAATTAAGATATGCAATTTGGATATTGAACTTGCACTTTCGTTACTAAAACGATACGTAGATATCCACGTCATTAGCTTAGTCTGTAAATAACTTATCGGTATTTTAATACGTCAGTCTCTTTTGGCATCCAGCTAAATGCTACGAAACATACCTATATCAAGCGTAGCTTAGTTTCACTTTTGTTAGCTGAGGCACACTGGCTTCAAGCCATGACGACCATTGCTGTGTGAAACCACAA